CAGCTACATGCTGAGGAACCACATACTAGGAAAAGGAAAGAAGGTTCATTCTAGCAGAGGAGGAGTGGGGCAGGTCTAGGAAAGCTCAGAGCCAATGCTACTGTTGTGAAGTTTCTCTTACAGGGTTAGGAGTATTTTGGTGGGGAGAAATGAATTTGGAGTAGCTGGCGCAAGAGGCACTTCCTGGGCAATGACAAAGCAAGTGACAGCGCTGCACAGGCAGGCTGGGGTCACACGGCAACATGCCTTGGGTGCTAGCCTGTTTGAGGAAGCCAACTCGAGTTGCATTATGACAGATAGGTGGATCACAGGGAGGTGGCTATGGACACTCCCATAAAAGCCCAATGAGAGTGGTAGTTACGCAGCTGAACACATAGGCAAAAGCTCCTGTGCATTTTATTATGTGAATATGTCAGCTCAAAACAGCAGTTAAAATTTTTTTAAAGCCCTGGGGAGATAGTGCTAGCCTGTCCCAGCGTGTGGGGGATGAGACAGTCAGGAGCAGAAAGGCACAAGGGAAAACCTTTCCCCTGAGGGTCCTTCCCCAGGCACCTCCTCTGCTGCTCTCTGATGACGCAAAGGTCTAATCTCAGAGGATCTTGGTACTGAAGGACAACGCAGGAGATGTGGTTGCTGCCTCTGAAGTAGAAGGAAATCAAGGACCAGAGGGACCAGCACTCTGTCCGGGCTCACAGCTGTTCAGAGGTAGACCTAGGTTTGTACGCCAGCTCAGACTCAACGCAAGCTTAGATCACATCGCTGCTGCTGCACAGCATCTCTTGCCTATGTGTTCAGCTGCGTAACTACCACTCCCTTGGGCTTTTCCGGGAGTGGCCACAGCCACCTCCCTGTGATCCACCTGAGTGACAGCCAGGAGGAAATTAGAAAGAATGTTAAGACAGAGGTTGTAATGTGGATTTCTAAGTGTTGATGACACACTGGACTGGTGTCAAGGCAGGTCAATAAACAACACACGAGAGAGCTTCACAAAATTCATGGAAAAACCATGCATGACTTTCAAGTTGTTCTTACATCCACGTAAACTTATGTTTTAATTCCATGCTTATATGAACGTTTTGAAGTTCCCTTGTTTATTATCCTAACTCTGAGAAGGTAAAGTGTACACACAAGAAAAATCCAGCAAAATAGTAAGAGTGCTACCTCTGAATAGGTAAATTACAAATGAGTTTTGTGGGACTACAATACCCATTGTTTGTGTAGAAGACAAGGCTGGAGACAACTGATCTAACAATTGCAACTAACAATGTATGCATAGGCTGATTTGGGCGACGGATTGTGCTGGACCCTGTGTTGGCATACACACAAGAATCAGGTCTGGGATCACCTTAGATGAAGTTTCTCTGGGAATTCCCCCAACAGAACCACAGGTTCCATGGTCTGACCATGGAGTGCACGTGTCAGACCTGGGCCTCCTCGGTGGCTTGGATGGAGCAATGGACAGTATATTCAGAAACACATGGAGGATACAGCAGTAAACTGGAGCCTGCAGAGGACACTTGGGACCATAACAGAGGACGGAGAACAGAAGAAATTGATCAGCTACCCTAGCCAAGTGTTGGCAGTGAATATCCGGGGAAAAGGAGCCTCTTAGGTGGACTACGTCAGCCAGTGGAGTCTGGAGAGATTTCATCATGATTGGAGCAGAAAGGTAGGCAGCAATGCAGAACTACTGAACTGTCAAAACCACTTGAGCAGGACCCTCGGAGAATGCCCCATGTCGGGGACCCTAGGACAGTCGGAAGGCTGGGTGTAGCTTCTCCCCTTATCTCTCTCCTCCCCCCAGACATAGGAAAGAAAGAACAGAATGTGAAAACAATGGTCTTACCCACTTTCCTCTAGCCCTTGACCCTTCACACCTAATATAATATGCAAAAATGTATACAATTCATAAAAAAACAAATGAGTTTTGTGTACTCTATTTTCTATTAAACAGTGAAAAGGTATTAGTTGTGTTTTTTTTTTTTAATCCAGGAGATTTCTATCACCACCAAGACTTTCTCATAAGTTGCAACTGAGCTTGGTCTGCTTGTTTTATGAAAAGCAAACACTCCGAGAGCCAAAAAAAGAAGAAGAAAAATGAATCACCAGGTAAATATTGATCTGTTGCTAAGTGAACAAGAGACATATCCCATTGGAGTAAAGTTTTCCTTGAGACATTAAAAGATTCACTTATCCTTGGGGAAATTACCTTCAGACAGATTTTAACACTGCTGGGGCGCGAGTGAGGAGGAGAGGAGGAAATATCCCATCCTCCTCACATGCTTCCATGTCCAACTTCCCCCTCCTTTTCTTCCTGCTTCTGCAGAGCAAGGAGGGTATGTTCATGTTCCTATCCTCCTTGAGGTCAGGTTAACAGACGCCTGCAGTCAGGGTCCCCCAGCTTGCTGTAAACAGGCTGACTGGACTTTGCTGCCCAGGAGAGCACTGGTGAAGACAGAACACACGCTTCTCCTGCCCAGGGAAAAATCCCGAGTCCCAGGAGAAACACTCCTAGCCATAACAGACCCATTTCCTGCCTTCAACTCCAAACACAGGAGGTTATTCCAGAAATGTGACATCAAGGGAGTGAAGGAACATTAAGGGACTGTGGCTTGCAACAGGGCGATCAAAATAGAAACAGGCATATTCAGGAGTGTGAGGTCCCTGCAGGTGGGAGCGGGGACACCTGGCTGATGGCTCCTGGCCTGGCCGGGCTCTTCTGCCTCTGCTCACTCCTCTGCAGGCAGCCATCCTGAAGGAGATCCTGAGGTAGGTCCCAGGGAGAAGGAGGCAGCCACCTCTGGAACCACACCACAGTTTGTGTTTGCTTTCCTACCCTGATGCTCCCCCTTTCCTTATCCCTAAAGTGGGGAGGAAGAGTGAAATCGAACAGCCTGGTTATCAAGAGGATTAAATGGCATCATGCCCGTGAGAGGTACTCAGCAATTTTACTAAACAGAGAATAATGTGAAAATATTTTGGTGATGGGCCCCATGAATGCAGAATATACTTATTCCTAAAGAATTAGGATCTGAATCAGAAATAAGAGGCAAATGAAAAGACGGAGGTAAAACAAATGAACCTTTCTGCCCTGATGTGTTATGTTGAAGTCAAGAATGTTAGGGTGCTTGGAATTTTAGCTGCTCGTCCTGAAATCACAGAAACAGGTCTTGGAAGCAAACAGTTGCTGGAGAACCTCACCTTCAAACCTGAGCTAATTCTGAAGCAAACATCAGTTTTGCTTTTAACCTAGGTGATCCTTCACTCCCATCTCCCCCACCTTGCTAATTCAGGCTTTGCCAGGAGAGAGCATGGCAACTGTCAGATGGCCACAGGGCTCCCTACTGATGCTGCCTGCTCAGGTTGGCGCAACATTTCTACCAAATCTAATGAGATGACACCAGGAATGCGCTTTCCTACCAAGAGGAGCACGTGGACCTCTTCAACAGAGGGCATGCGGTAGCAGGTTGGCACCTTAGGTTCATTGAGAAAGTGTGCCGTGGTGGGGTGGGGAGGGAAGGAGAAATGAGAAATTGGTGTGTCTGGGCTGTTTTTAAGAAAAGGTAAGAAGAGGTAAAAACTTCCATCATTAGCTTTTTAAAATAGTTTGAACAATTAAGACGGAAAATACCTTACATGAATTTTTCTGGAGCTGGGACAGTAACGGCTTTTCTGTGGTTGCCTCCCTCTAATTAGTCAGGAATCAATATCGGGTGCAAATTTGCACTCATCTGCGCAAACACTTGCAGGGTTTTAAATTCTTTGGTTTTCAAGAAATTCTCTACAATGAGATGTCGCAGGAAGTGGGACTAGTTGTCCCACTCAGACTGAAAGGGGACACCAACGGCACTAGCCAGTCCAAATTACCATGCAAAGCAAACAACGGAAATTCAAATATTAAAAACGCTGGACAATGCACACTTTAGTGTATTAGGAACAGCACATCCTGATTGTAGAGCCTTCTGGGATGTGAAGCCCCCTCAGCAGGGGCAGTTCCAAATCCCCTATTACGACTGTGTGTTATTCACAGCACTCCACCAGTCTCCTTACTCAGGGTCACAACACCACTATCGTAGCGTCTGTGCATGAACACCCAGCAGGTGAGAGGTAGTTGCCAGGTTAAAACAAGGTGCTTCTGCTGCTCTCTCTGGCAGGGTTCCTAGGAAGTCAGCTAGTTGTGTGCTGCTCTACAAGCAGCTGCAATCCTGTGCGACTGCATGCAGAACACAGTAACCCAATGTGAGGCAGCAATGCCAGAAAGGGAGGGGCGGGGGATGGGGTATAGAATGCTCTGGACGTAAGGTTTAACACAAGTCCCGTAAAGACACAGTGAATGAGAAGGCATTGGCAAGGACACACTTAACACCTCATTGATTGGAAACAGACTGGGCAGATCCTCTTAGTTTTAAACTGTGGTTTCCTATACCAGAAGCAGAGCCTGCCCCTGTCACCTCCAAAACCCAAACCTGGGCTTCTACAGGGAAACTTGGTTTTCTTGGAAGGAAAGTTCTCTTTTTAAGTTCTTTCTACCAAAAAAAAAAAAAAAAAAAAGTTCTACTAGTTCATTCTTGGTACATTTTCAATACAGTAGATGAAGACAACCCAATTACAGGTCTGGGCTTTCTGGCTTATTGATTATTTTGAGTAAGGATGATTCTATGTTAGAACTGGCAACAGGGCATTTGCTAAAGGGCCAGAATATTGTCCCAGTTTTCTCTATCTACCTTGAAATGACTGCTGCTTGCTGCAAAGTCCTTGTCATGGATGATGACACCACCCTGTGGAGGAAGGGATGTTTCCAGGCAACAAAAATCTGATTCTCCTACCCTCCTGGATTCAAATACTAGATTGCTATCAAGACTGTGGCTGTTTCAACACCAATGACACTACTTTCCATCGATGCCTAAAAGGCATGGTATAAGAAGATCCTTCCAAGAACATCCCATAAAGCCAAGCAGCAGATCAGCAGGTGGGTAAATAAGGGCATGAGGTTTACTCACTCTTTGGTCAAAAGAGGACAGGACTTCAGCAGAAAGCGTGACAGCCCTGAGTCCTGAAAGTAGAGGTCAGGTGGAGCTGTGGGGCTCTTCAGATTCAAACAGCGGACAATCACGTACAGAACAGCAGCTACCGCAGCCAGCTTCACCCCATCAAACACAGCCGGGAGCTCCGGCGTCTCCAGCATGGCGTTCATCTTGCTCTGGGGAGCAGAGGCACAGGTGGGTTTACAAGCACACAATGGATTTACAAGCACACAGCATTACAGAGGCATGTGTGATAAGAGGCAGAAAGGCATGTCATGGTCCAGGTGTGTCCACAGGGTCTACCCAGGCAGACGCTGTCCACACCTTAGCACTATCAACGGACTGGCAACAACTCAACTCCCAAACATATGGTCCTGAGCATTAATACAATTTGTAAGGTTTCTTTTCTTTTTGTAAATTTCATTAACATGATCAAAATAAGCAAGCTGCAAAACCATGAAGATGGTGACATTCAGAAAGTAGGAATAATAAGACTGGTCAGAGATAGGAGCAGCACTGGGGTGGTACTACCGTTTCTGGTAACAAGCTACCTTGAATCTCTCTGTAGGCTTAACCTGCACCTGGTGTACCAGGTGTGTGTTAAGCGTTGTGTTTATAGTCCCAGATGAGAATATGAGATGGGGTTGCTAAGCCACCAGGTACAGCTGGCCCCACCTCTCTTTTCATAGTAAGTTGAGATACAGCATTCTCCACCTGTTCCACAGAAGCACAGCTGCCCCAGTCCAGTTTAGATTCAGCCCAGGCTGAAGTATCCTGGCTCCTGGGTAGCAGGCAATATGAAAGGCAGTTTGGCCACTTATTTATTTTTATTTCCATAGAAGGTATATAACTTAGTGACAAGTCCAAAATTAGGCCAAAGTAGGTCAAAATTTAAAATTGGGGAACAGAAAATGTTTAGATAATGATGACTTTTTCTGACTCTTCTAATCTTTCATCTTGTGAAGTAGCTTTACCTTGTATGCAGAATATACACATGCCCCCCCATCCAACACATAAAGCCAAATATGAACAACAATAGTAAAGCAATGGCAACAAGAATCCAGTGTTTCCCTTGCTGTTTTGCAGAAAAACAGAATGTCAGCTGCTACCTTAAAAATCAGGAAAACCACAAGCTGACAAAAAAAGGAGAAAATGGCAATTCTCACAGCCATCGTAACTATGGCAACAGCTTTCCTTGGGATGGTTTCAAGTAGCCTTGGCAGAAAACAGTCATCATGAGAACTTGGTTGCCAATGCTAGAGACAGAACGAGTAGGGCAAAATAATCTCCCAAAAACGTGTTCAGGTACAGTCAACTGAACTCTCCTGACACAAACAGCACATCCAGAAAGGACTCAGAAACCTTTTTCTAAACTCAATAGTAGCTCTGGCAAATACAGGCCCCAAACATACGGTAAACAAGCTTGGCAGAGGTTCTCAACCTAGGCAGGGAAGGGAATCCAAGACTGTAACTGGTCCTTCACCATCAGGGAGAGAAAATAATCTTTAAAAACTCACCTGGTGCAATTTTGAGTGAAGGTTAGGCCTCAGAAACATTAAACGAGAAGATGAATTTTTTCAAATGTAACTTTTAGTGACATTTCACCTTACTTTCGGGAAAAGTCCTAGGAAGTTTGCCTAGAAACCTCTAAAATGTGATTCTTAACTTGGGGTCTATGGGCCTCCTACAGGATTCTAGAGTCCAGAAAACCTCTGAAATCACATGCCAAAGTCTGTGCATGTGTAATAGTTTTCTACGGAGGTGGTAAAGGTCAAAGGGACCTATGTCCCAAAAATGTCAATAGCATTGCACAAAAAGATGATCTTCGGGTTTAACTTGCAGCTCTAATCCCTCACCCAGTCACAGCCTGGCCACCTTGCAAGCAAGATGGAAGTTAAACAAATATCCAAGATGCAGATACTTAAGAGAGTAAGTCTAGTAAAGTGAAGGATCAAAACCAAAATCCATCAGAAACTCCAAAGTTTCTCTGATGAAATGAAAGTTTCTCTGATGAATATGGACTTGATGCATAGTAATACAATAGTAGGTCGTTTCACTGGTCTCATTCTTGGTTGACAATAGGCTTCCAGGACTTAAAAATTAAAACTCCCTTCCCTTCCTCCTTCTGCCCACTGCTTATTAATAGAAGAGGAGGCAGAAAGGAGACACAAAATTAGCCTTGGTCATACATACCTATATGTCACTTGGTCCTTTTTCCTTGAACAGTTGTGGGAGTTCAGTTGGTCAGGTCAGATCTTAGTCAAATTAACCTAAAAGCTGAAAAGATTGCATGGTGAGTTTTTTAAAAGAATGAGAAAGAAGCCATTTAGTTGAAACATAAGTAGTCAACCTTTCTCTACATTTCAAATTCTTAGGGAGAAAGACAATTTCCTTAATTAACATACGTAGCAAATTCTAGGATGTTTGGCCATTTTAACAAACATGCTGGTGGATGCCTTTGGGAATCCAGTAATCCTGACAGCCTTTCTCTGGTTTCCACAGCAAGCTGTCTACTGTGTTCCTAATTGTGGCTAAAGCAAATTCACCCTGTTTTTTACCCTTTAGTTCATAACATAATCTTCAGAAATGCCTAGCAGGATGGGCACCATTTCTGTGTGACCAAAGAAATAACTGAGATCAACTTTGGATCAATGGAGCACAGCCAGTAGAGTCATTTCTTTTCCCTCAAACATCCAGCAATGAGATTAAAAAAAAAAAAAAAAAGATGAGCTGAGAAAAGTAAAAGGGTTCAGATGGGCTGAAAACCAAGGTAGGAGAAGCAGAAGAGAGCAGATGACAGCAGGTGGGGGTGGCCTGGCTTGCCAGGACTGGGCTCAGACCAGGGTCCCAAGACAAGGAGGTGCAGAGCACCCAGAATGAAAGGCATTCAGCATGAGACAGGAAGCCAGAGCTGAGCCTCACTGGGGGAAGCTGCTGAAAGAGCGATGGCTCCCAAAGCAGCACAGGAACCCAGGGAAATGGCTGATGTTCACAGCTACCTATGTGCCAAGGCCAATCCTCCATGCTGCACACCTGCCTCTTTAATCCTTCACATATCCTAGAGGTAAGATATTACTGATGGCCCACTTTTCAGACGAGGAAATTGAGAACATTCAAGCATCTCACTCAAGAACAAATGGTTGGCCAGCAGAAAAGCCAGGATCCATCCTTGGCTCAAGAGACCCTACTCTCAGCCACCACTTGGAAGTGAGGATAGGTGAGGAAATAGAGGTGTCAGCCAGCAAACAGATGACTAGTACAAGAGACACACATGTAATACCAGAGGTTTGCTTCAAGGAGCACAGCTACAAAGAGCAGAGCTGGGATTCAAGCCCGTTAGCTTCTGATTCCACCACATCAAAACTGCCCAAGCAAGACAACGAAAGCCAGAGAACCAATTAACCTCCACGGTGGTCTTGCTCAACTTCAGATTTTTACAACCACTGTACATCTGAAGCCACTTCAAAGAATTAGTGGAAAATAAAATTAAAATAAGTCTTTTTTCTGAAAAGCAAGGTTGAAACCAACGCATACAAGAGGTCTGCAAAATGTTCATGAAAAATACATGTTATGAATAAACTATGCATGAACTTCAGCACCTTCTGGCAACTAAAATAGCCTCATCTTTCAATTTTATTTTTTGGTGAGCTTTATGAAGTATTCTGGGGCAAATCTGCCACAGCTGACCAGGAGCCTAAGGCTGCAGAGTGAAGTCTACAGAATGGGCTGGACCCAGTGAACTGGAATTGGGATTGGTGAACAAATAGACCTTACTAACTGGCAAGTTATAAACACTAGATTTCCAATAAGACTTTCTTTCTCTATTTCTCTCTCTCTCTGTCTCTCTCTCTCTCTCTCAAAAAAAAAGGAACATTTTGCAACAGAGAGCCAACATTCTCACCTGGTGACAATGAGTGAACCAGCAGATGAAAGATTTTTTTTTTTCCCTTTCTCTCTGTAAGTGACTTTCCAATAAAAACAAATAAATAACTCTTTTTTAAAAAGTCTGGATCCCTAATAACCCAAAGGAGTCAGCCCACCAAATCTGGATCACCTGCCTTACAATTTCTAAAGGAAATTACAGAACAGCATTTCCCCACCAGTATTTCTGGACTCTTTCACTCTGCAGTTGCTGATGATACAGAATGAAATGTGTATTCCCAAGCCTCTACGGATGCTAAAATCACGGGCCTTCTAAGAGCGCTGGCAGTTTCCCTCTACTAAAATTCAAAACGACTTCAAGTATTTTTGCCATTTGAAAAAAAAAAATACCCTGACAAAATAGCAACTAGCAAAATCTTTTCAGTTTTAAAACCCTGGACTAGTAAACTTCTTACATCAACATGCACCACAATTGCGCAGAAAAGGTTAGATGAAGTATAGAATGTATACTTTCTGTGAGGATGTGGAAGGAAACCACAAACAGAAAGTGTCCTGACACAGATCGCACGCTCACCTCTGGAAGCACGACAGTCATTTGGGGAAAACAGGTCTTTTCTGGTATGGAATCCTAAAAGCGCTCTGTGGGACTTTACATAAGGGACCTTGAGTGATGTGACAATGTCCTCCTACCACAGTTTTTAAATAGCAAATGCAATAGAGAATTAACTTCATCAACCCTTGAAAAAATGCTGAGGTTTTAATATTTAACTCCATTTAGGGTAGGTAATCCTGTGAGTGATCTTAATGGTTGTGGTCCAGGTATGCAGCTCTTATCCGACTTGAGCCTGCAGTCCTGAGGCACAGGTCAGTTCTCTGGCACGTGGCCGAGGCGCTCCCTTTTGATGTCCACTGAGCTTATATACCTGGTGACCTACTCTGTGCCCAGCACTGTGCAGGACTGCAATCGCCGAAAATTCTCATTTCAACGAGGGAGGAGAGAAGTTCATGTTAAGAAGCTCATTTGTACTTCAGAAACCTGGAGACAATGATAATTAGTCCGGGGGGGGGGGGGTGGAAATGAAACATGATGGAGCTGCCATATCTAAAGCAGGACGTGGTGTAGCCAATAGGTTTAGAGATGTAAATATGAGTAAGGTAGTGTGTGGGTATAGAGTGCATCAACTGTACAAAACCAGGAATTTGCAGTCCATTTTAGAACAAACCGCTTCACAGTCCTTTTAAGTCTATCTTGCTGTAGTGGTTTTATGGTGCTCATTCTTTTCAACTCTGACCTGCTATGACATACAAACATTCTAAAACCTGTTCTGAACATAACAAACCCAGCTTTCACTACACTATTTTCTTCTGTGCCCTTCTCTGCTCTAGGCAAATGAAACCCAGTGAAAATGACAGCCCAAACAGGAGAACTGGAGGCCCGGGTGGTGCAGGAGGGAAAAGAAGTGTATCCCATCTGCCACATGATCTCCATGGCCACCATGGGCCAGGCTTCCTGCGTACCTGGGTCACTCCTTTCTTAGCCTGACAGTCCTTCCCATACCTCCCCACCCTCACTTTTGACAAGTATACTCAGGCACTGCAAAGGGATCTGTACAAGAACAAACCCACGCTATTTATTGCCAAGCCCCCAACATCTAGTCATTAAAGGGACTTTCAGTATTGCCTTGGTCTCTTAAGACATGACTGACTGGTATTTCTACCAGTGGCAAAGGCCTGGGCTGAGCCTCCTATGCTCTGATCTCTGGTGCCTGGGAGAATACCACTGCAAGATGGAGGCACAGAAGCAGCCAGAGACAGGGCCCTGGCACTAGAAGAAGCTCCAGTTTGTGAAGCCTGAGACCAAGGTCTTAGTGCCTACAACTCCTGGCTGGTGACCTAAAAAGTCACTCAACCTTTTGGGCCCTGAGGATCTCATTTGTAAAATGAGAGGTCAGACCAGAAGTAGATGATGCCAGAGGTCTACTTCGGCTCAAAAAGACGGAGATTTTAGGGGCTAGAATTGCAGTCCTTGGTTGGAGAAGACAGGAATAGAATCGTCTTTGTAACAAAAAAAGGTCCCTTTTTCCAACCTGCTTCACAGAGCACTTTACCCCTAAATTCATAGATTATAATTATCCACAGTCCATGTTCTTTCCCTAACTAGTTATATTATTTTCAGCTATGCCCTTTATACCAATAAGCCCATGGTATTCAGTAAGTGCTCCAAAATATTAGTCATTATCGCTAACACTAAACTTTCCTCCATTATGCCTCAATAAACTAATCTGACAAACAGAACATCCTGAAAGATGTAAAAGACACCCTTTCCTAACCCCAGAGAGGCACAATAACTGGTTCATTGACTGCTGGCTCTGTTCAATAAGTTTACTTAACTCCTGGACTCACTTCTGAGTCTCATAAGTTGGACCACATTAGACTCAGCAAGTGAGTGGATAGTTAGGGCAGCCAGTAAGGCTCCCCAATAATTCCAACATGAACTGTTCCTGTTTCTATGCTGAAGGTCCTGAGCTGTACCAATCTGGGGTCCCTTTCTGGAACCCCTCCTTCCTGGGGCTCTTCTCCTCAGCCCATGGAAATGCTGCCGCTCACCTGCGCTTCCTTCTCATGTGTGATTCCACTCTCCTGGCTGGCTTGGCTGCCATAGCAAATGTTAATACCAGGAAAGATAACCTTGGCCCAGCATGGGAAGCCTTTGGCGGGCCTCAATGCTCAACACCCAGCAGGCAGACAGTAGAGGCCACAAAACCCCAGCTCACTCCAACCTTTTAGCTTTTCTAGTGGCAACTAAGATAAAAAGTGGGTAACCTTAAAGATAGCTGCTATGATGTCTTTAGGGAGAAAGCCGGAAGGAAAACTGCCAGATTCTTTCCCCTGCATTTTCCATTTGCATAAAGAAGTCCGAGCCTCACAGGAAAAAAAAAAAAAGAAAGAAAGAAAGAATGAACTAAAGGAAATAACAGAACAAACCAGAAGACAAAGATGGCTAGGAAAACAGCATTGTCTCTTTCTATTTTTTTTTTTAAGATTTTTAAATTTTATTGGGAAGAGTTGGGGCTGGTGTGACAGGTCAACTGGCTAATCCTTCACCTTCAAGCACTGGGATCCCACATGGGCACTGGTTCATGTTCTGGCTGCTCCACTTTCCATCCAGCTTCCTGCTTGTGCCGTGAGAAAGCAGTGGAAGATGACCCAAACCGTGGGACCCTGCATCCATGTGAGAGACCTGGAAGAAACTCTTGGCTCCTGGCTTCAGACAGGCTTTGTTCCAGCTGTTGTGGCCATTTAAGGGATTAAATCAGCAGATGGAAGATCTTTTCTCTGTCTCTCCTTCTCTCCGTAAACCTGACTTTCCAATGAAAATAAATAAATCTTTAAAA